TATTTAACAAAAGCGGGCACCAGCCCAGTAGTCAATAGTACAAAAACGAGCACGCAGGCCCAAAGCAAAAGATAAACACCGGCACGCAGGCCACAAAACAACGAGCACGCAGGCCCGGCAACCTACACTTCCTCATCAGCTCGGTCAGCAGCCACGGTTTCCTCGTCGGGGATAACGAAATAAGGATCGATCACCCTTCCATCAACGATCTCGTGGTACGGCCCTATCCCGTCCACGACCAGCTCGACACCAGGGTTGGCGACCTGAATCTGCTCGACCGCATTCTTGAACCCGACCTCAACGGCTTCCAGACAATCGCTCTCCAACACCCGGATACGGGCGATCAAGTCAGCACGGGTGATTAAACGCCGATCCCCCTCAGTCTCGTCCTCGGCCGGACGAACAGCGCTGTCCAGAACCTCAGTACGAACCTTCAGCGCCTGCACCTCGGCCGTCGCCATCCCCAGCTTCTCTTCCAGCGAACTCACCTTCCCCTCAGCACCCTCTGCTCGTTTCCGCTCCTCGGCAACGTCCTTCTGGCTCTTCTCCAACTCCTCAGTGAGCTTGGCCAACCGCGACTGCGTAAAGGTGAGATCCCCTTGCAGTTTGGACAGCTCAGCAGCAGAGCAGCCCTCCTCGTTCAGCACGAGAGCCGTCGTAAACGTCCGCATCATCGCGGCCAAAGCCTCAGCCAGGACACGCCGACGGGCCTCCCGATCAGCCTGGCGAACAGCCTTCACCTCCCCGGCGGAAACGGTGGGGGAACGGGCACCATGAAAATACCCCGGGTGCTGGTGGCAGGGAGGGACGACATAACCTTCCTCGACGGCGCCGACCGTCAGATCCACCACCCGAGGCTCCTCGGACCTCTGCCTCTTCGACACTCCTTGGGACACAGGGGATTGGCTCTCTTGAGGCGACGAGGACGAAGTTTGGCCCCCCTGCGTCGCGACCTCCTGACTGACCAGCTGACTCACCCTCGTCCTCGGGACCCCGGCACTCCTGGCAGCACGCAACTGCTTCACCCGCTCGTCGACAGTAGACATGTTCGCTGCAAAAACAAAGAAATAGGTTAGCGACGATCAAAAACCCCGACAACGAGGGAAAACGAAACATCCCTACCTAGATAATCTAGAGCGGCCGCCCCGGTCGCACAGCCGAGCAAAGTCTTAGTATTTATCAAACGCTTTTTAGTGCGTACGTTCCCCTGGGCATCGAGGATGTACCGACCGTCGGGCGTCACCAGCTTCGACGGGGGAAGTGACCGCACAAAGGCAATTATTTTCAGATAAGCGGCCATGTCCTTCTCCTCGAGGGTTCCCGCCCGGACGATATACCTATCCGTCCCTCGACTGAAATGCTCCGAGGTCCACAGCAGATGTATCTTGGGAAGCCACGCTCGGAACCACTGGCCATCTACCGTGCGCTCGCCCTCGTCAAAGAGAGTGTCCGAGCCGTGCTGCGTGATCGGTTTGACGAGGTAGAACCGACCCTTGAAGTCTTTGACAGAATCACTGTACGCTTTAAAAATTTTGGTCGATTGTTTGAAAGAGACCCATCCGTGACGACCTCGCACCGTCTGCCGCTGCAAATGAAAGATGCGAAAGAACAACGGCACCGTCGGCTCCACCGAGAGGTAGAAACACACCACCTCGAAAGCCCGGATGAAAGCCAGAGCGTTCGGGTGCAGCTGAGACGGGGCAAGACGCAGCCAGTCAAAAATCCCCAGATGGAAGGCAGAGAACGGCAACCGGAGCCGAGCTTCTTTAAAATAAAATTCATACATCGGGAACATCTTCCGCCCATAGCGCGAACAGATCCGATGGTGCGCTTTCGGGCGATACACCTGCCAGTGTTGCGTTTCTCCTAGCGGCGTGTCCTCGACCGTGGCATACACGTCGGACGGGTCGACCACAAAACAAGAAGGGATGGTAAGTGGCTCCTCGGCCGCCCACTCCTCGGGCAAGGAGACGCGCCCGTCGTCATACTCCGGGACCTCGGGTTCATCATCTTCAACCATTATCCCCGGCACCAGAGCCGACATCTACACCTGAAAGCAGAGGACCTCGGTGAATTCGATAGCCAGGATCAAATCCACCCTTCCACCGCAAGTCAAGTGAAAGGGCGACAAAGGCCGAGGGGCGGCGAGCAGACATTCGCTCCCCGCCTACCCTCCTCGGGGATCGAAGAACGACCCCTCAGCCCTTCGGGGCGGCCGTCGGAGAAGATACTTCTCCCCGGGGCAGTCATCAGAAAAAGCCCCCGTCCTCGGGGCATTCATCGGAGAAAAGCCCCCGTCCTCGGGGCATTCATCGGAGAAAAGCCCCCGTCCTCGGGGCATTCATCAGAAAAAGCTCCTGTCCCCGGGGCATTCATCGGAACTAGCCTACCGTCCCCGGGGCATTCATCGGAAAGCTCGCCAGACGCGGCGGAACTCGCATCCCTCCTCGGGGCGCTCATCGCGCCCCGACCACACGTCCCAGTTAGACGACGAAAATAAAAGAGAGGGAGAAGAGGAACTCACTTGTAACGGCGGCGGACGGAAGAAAAAGCGAATGGCACGGCGTTGATCGGCGGCGAACGGCGGACGGGCAGAGACGATGAAAGATCAACAGGGAGAAAAGTAGCAGAATGAGCGGGGACCGCCATATTTATAACCCGGCGCGAGGCTCGAAGCGACCCTAGGCTCATTAATGACATAGGTTAGCCGCCCCTACGACCGCTCAACGCAAGACACGTGGAAGCAGCCTGACAGTCGCGTCTCTCCATCTGCCTCCTCCCCGTTCTACCGACGACCGGAGCCCTTCGCACGAGTCCCCCGCTCCAGACATGACGACCTTAAGTCCTCGCTCTTCCCCAGAGCTTCGACTTGGGGGGCTCCTGTTCCGGTGTGGGCCTCACCTCGGCAGGCCCAATACCAAATACGGCCCAACAGGCGAACTGAGCACACCTGGCACACGCCCCTTCGGACGAGCAGGACCGCCCGCCGGGCACAAGCCATCACGCCGCATCCCCTTCGTCGTCCGTCTCACCAGACGAGCGAGACTACCCGGGCTCCCTCCGCGGGAGAATAACGTGCTCGGCGCACGTTCTCCACGTGCTCCCCTCCGCGGGGACACGTCATCGGCCAACCGCCCACCTCCGAAAGAGCAGGTCAAACCCACTTTCCGGAGATCTAGGAGCGGTTGAACTAGGGCGAAGACCACGTCCTGGTCTTCACTACGCCACGTAAGCCCTAGCAGTCATTAGGGTTGGGCCTGGTCGTCTGGCCCACCTCGAATGACCGTTGGCCCAGCGCTGGGGTCTCTCTATAAATACCCTCTTCTTCAAGAGGGTCAGGTAACTCTTCTTGCCCCCTTTTCTGTACTATTGCTTCCTCTCTGTCCAACTTCTTACTTGGGCGTCGGAGTGCTTTGCAGGTACACCCCCTCCTCGTTCTTACCTCGGCGAACAGATAACCGTCCGGCGAAGCGTGGCCAGTCCGTGATCCCTCCTGATCAGGTCAGATCACATTCTATTTCCTAAATTTATAATTTTTTCTCTATTTCTCTTTTCTTCTCACGTCCTCTGTATCTATTCCTTCACTTTTTTCCAATTTTTTTAACCCCAAATTAGTCTTCTTTAACCCTAATCCATATCATATCTCTTAAATGTCAAAATATTTATATATTGAGGTTTAGTATTTCTTCTACACAAGGTAGGGTTTAAGTGTTCCAACTTTATCTTCTTTGGTGTTGGTTAAACTTTTGGTGTATATGACTTCTTACGAATTTCTATCTCTTTCTTTTTCAAAATTTTAAATTAGTTTGATATATCATGGATTGAACCTCGTATCTTTATTTTTCTTCTATTTTCTTCTTTGGATCTAGAAAATATAGTGGATGACATTTTGAATGTGAAGGCTTTTTGATGTACCATAAGTTTTTGTTATCTATTTTATTTTTTGGGTTAGATATCCTCTTTGATTTTTAGTTTTTGTATTTTTTGGTTTGTTTTTGGTTTGATTTTCTAGGATTTTTTTTATGAAGTTGTTGTGTTCTTGATGTTTTAGAGTTTTGAATGAAAAAGTTTTTAGTAATAAAGGCAAGGATGAATTTTAGAAAAAATATGAGAAAATTTTTCTGAGCTATTGGGATGAAGTTGTTGTGTATTTATAATATTATGTATTTTAGCATGATTTTTTTTAGAAAAAGATGAAGAATCTCTAGATATCATTATGAAGTTGTATTTTTTGTGTTTGTTCACAATATTAGATGTATTAAGAGTTTGAGTCCAATTTTAATATTATATTAATATTTTTTTTATAAATGGAAACAAATTTATTATTGATTCATATATTTTTATAAATAATATTAAAATAAAAATAATATTTATATACTATAAAAGATATATTGTGAATCCAAATATTTTTATATATGAAAAAAAAATTGTATTTGTGATTCAAATATAAATAAAAATATGTGACAAATATAAATTTATTAAATATATTCTACAATTTATTTTTTGATTGAATATGTCAACAAATGCGCTTAGAAAATCATGTGCGTATAAAACAAGTATTCGTGGGTAGGCATGCCTTTTGTTGTCTGATATATATTTGATCTTCTACATGTATTTTTTTAAAAAAATAATTAACTCTTTTGGTGTTAAAAAATTGTCTTTCTTTCATTTTATTTTTTTACATTTTAAAAATAATTGCACTTATTTTTTATTTTGTCTTTCTATAATATAGTTATAGTTTTTCTTTATTTTTAAATCCAACCAATTCTCTTTTTTTTTTTTTGGAATAAAAGATTTTATTAAATCCCAAAAAACAATAAATAACAAACAAAATAAAAAAAAATAGTCTTTATGTATTATAGATTTACAAAAAAAACAAATATGCACGATATATTATCCGTGATTTGTGTCTGATACGTTAAACTCACTTTTAAATATGAATAATTTCCGCAAACTTTTGAATTCATAGATTAATGCTTCTGAAACCCTAGTGAATTTCAATGGCTCCAGAAGCAACAACACGGGGAAGAAGGAATCGAGTTTCACCTTCCACACCAGAGATCATCGACCTCGACTCTTTCCGCTCATACGGCAAGCGAACCATAGACGAAGACATTAAGATCCTTAAATTCACTCCTGAGAACATTCCTCTAAGAAAACGTAAGAGAAATTTCGAAAGAGGAGAGTCTTCAAATTCAAGTAACATTCCATTTGTTTGCGAAATTTGCACGGAAACTAAAATAATGAAGGAAGCTTTCTATATCAGCGGCTGCTCTCACGCATATTGCTCTGATTGCGTTGCAAATTACATTGGTTCCAAGCTTGAAGATAACGTCATCAACATCTCATGTCCAGTTCCCGAATGCAAAGGTTCTTTGGAAGCACAGTTTTGTCGGAATATTCTTCCGGCCGAGGTTTTTGAAAAGTGGAGTAAAGCATTGTGTGAGGCTCTGAACAATGTTTCGCAAAAATTCTATTGTTCGTTTCTAGATTGTTCTGCTATTTTGATCAATGATGAAACCAAGGCTTTTAGAAATTCTGAATGCCCTAACTGTAATAGGATGTTCAATGCACAATGTAAGATTCCTTGGCATGATGGGATCAAATGCAGCAAGTTCCAGGGAGAAAAAAGATAGAACTTTTGGAACTTGCTGCATTTGATCCCATCATGCCAAGGAACCTTACATTGTGCACATAACATCCTATTACAGTTAGGGCATTCAGAATTTCTAACAGCCTTGGTTTCATCATTGATCAAAATAGCAGAACAATCTGGAAACGGACAATAGAATTTCTGCGAAACATTGTTCAGAGCCTCGCACAATGCTTTACTCCACTTTTCAGAAACCCCGACCGGAAGAATATTCTGGCAAAACTGTGCTTCCAAAGAACCTTTGCATTCGGGAACTGGACATGAGATGTTGATGACGTTATCTTCAAGCTTGGAACCAATGTAATTTGCAACGCAATCAGAGCAATACGCGTGAGAGCAGCCGCTGATATAGAAAGCTTCCTTCATTGTTTTAGTTTCCGTGCAAATTTCGCAAACAAATGGAATGTTACTTGAATTTGAAGACTCTCCTCTTTCGAAATTTCTCTTACGTTTTCTTAGAGGAATGTTCTCAGGAGTGAATTTGAGGATCTTAATGTCGTCGTCTATGGTTCGCTTGTCGTATGAGCGCAAAGAGTCGAGGTCGATGATCTCTGGTGTGGAAGGTGAAACTCGATTCCTTCTTCCCCGTGTTGTTGCTTCTAGAGCCATTGAAATTCACTAGAGTTTCAGAAGCATTAATCTATGAATTCAAAAGTTTGCGGAAATTATTCATATTTAAAAATGAGTTTAACGTATCAGACACAAATCACAGATAATATATCGTGCATATTTGTTTTTTTTGTCAATCTATAATACATAAAGACTATTTTTTTTTTCTTTATTTTGTTTGTTATCTATTTTTTCATTTAATAAAATCAAACAAAATCTCTTAGCTCTCCAACTTTTACCGTTACTATTCTTCAACACCCATTGCAGTTCTTCCTTCCACCCTAAGGGTCTGTGATTAATGTTGAGCCAATTAAGGACATGCTGCTATATCTCTTTCATCTTGCCACATTCAAATAATAAATGTTAGTATTTTCAGTGTTATCACAAAAGTTACATTTAGTTTGCTCCAAAAAACCAAATTTAGCCAATCTTTCTCTAGTTTCCAACCTTTCATTACAAGCCATTCACATAGTAAACTTCACCCTAGGCCTTGCGCAATTAGAAATCCATATGTTCCACTCTTGAAGAGATACTTTCTATCTTTGTTCAAAAATAGCTTTCATTATCCAAGCAAGACCATCGGTTCTTCACTTGTATCTTCATCAACTCCTTCCCTTTTATATAGTAACTATGAACCCATCTAATACACAAACTGTGTCTCTTGTTGCTGATATTTCAAAGCAGTTTCAGAAGGTTGGCATTATTCTAATCTGATATATCTCCTATGTTTAAACCTCCATGATTTTTTCTCTTGCATGTTTTATGCCAAGAGATGAGGGCTTTTCGGCTAATTGCACCCCATTCACATTAAACTTGTACCTTACAGTTTGCACAGAAATCATGATACACTTAATAAACTGATAAGGAAAATTCAGTTCTTGAAGGATTTTCTCCAGAGCCAGCCACTCCACTGAGTCATAGGCTTAACCCAACCAATTCTTTATTTAGTTTTTTTTTTTTTTAATTGTTTATTTATATTATTGCTTATATATAACAAATAAAAAATTGTTAATAAATATGTTTTTTAATTATCTTAATATTATTAAATATGTAAAAATTTGTAATTAAACAATCATATTTAAAATGAAAATTAAGATATATTTATGAATACAATTAAAAATATAAATCAATTTAAATGTATATTTATGAAAACAATAAATTATTATGATGCTAATTAATTTATTATTATAAAAGAAAAAACATGGGTGTGTCTAGATGATCTCATGGGTGTTCTGCCACTATCTAGGATTATGTATAACTTCTACATGTGATGTAAATGTTGGATTCTATACTCAATTTTCTGTGTTTGTTGTTGTATTATTTGATTGATAAGCTAATTGAAATTTGATTATATTTTTTTTATCTATTTTTAATTGTATATTTCTATTAGAAAATCTATTTTAAATCCATTCTTTCATTTTTATGTTAAGAATTATTTCATTTTCATGTTTAAAAAGATAGTCAATAATATAATAATTTTGTTAATTAATATCACTAAACATAATTATTTTTATGTCTCACATTTTTATGTTTATGTGCATTTAAACTCAACCAATTTATTAAACTAGACGATCTTTCATAAAGCCATTATTTTAGTGTACGGCTTATAACTCCCTCTTTCACAATGGCAGCCATAAGTGTTTTTCTCCTCATTTCAAGAGGAGTATTCAGTGAGTTTATCTTTTTAATTTATTTATTTTAATATTAGTCTTACCATATATAAGTTAACATGAATTTTCTTTTGATCTTATAGACTTTCATTGCTATCGTGATCAAGAAGAGACAAACCCGGTGCTTATGATTGCCGTCAAATATTTTTTTTGGTATTTTCTTCTTTTGATTTTAATTTAAGAAGAACAATGAAATCTCTGATACATATTAATTTCTTTTGATTTCAGTGAAATAATAAATTCTCTTGTACATTTTTTTATTTTGATATAAGTATTAAGGGTGAATAATAAATTATCATTTTTTTTAATTTTTGCTTATTGACGTGTCTGTGTATATGTAACCAGTTGTATGTCTGAATCGTAAAAGTAGTAACTAAAAACAAAATTTAAATATATTTTTGATGTTTCAATTTATTGCATTTTATTCACTTTTTTTTTTCTAAATTATAATGAATTCTTTATTGAGTTTGATTGACCGAATAAATATTTTTTTATAAAAAAAGAGTTTTTTATGTTATAATGAATTAAACTTAAAAATAAACATTCTTGGATTATCTTATGACTAATGACTAATGTATTTAGGGGTTTCAAGTCCTTGCATATTAAGAAGAAGAAAATTTAAGCAAATGTTTATTATTGCTACCACATGCATGAAGGTTGTTTATATTGTTTTGTTAGAAATAAACAATTTTGAATCAATTGCAGGGTGATCTTCTTTTAATTTAAAAAAAATTAAATTGTTCAAACCTAAAATAAAGATAATAACAAAACTATCTTCCAATAAGTAATGCTTAGTGGCATAAAAAGTGGAGACTATTAGCATGATTTGTCGTATACCTACCGGCTCTGTTTTTGTACCTTGTTCATACCAAAATCACTTTTTCTGACCAAGAAAACATCACAAAAAAAGCTACATTCGGCGAAAATTACTCTTCCTTGATTTGAATGCAATTTCAAGTTTGAAATACCCTCCAATTTTTATTTTATTTTAATTTATTTCATTCTTTCAATCTATAATCATCATCATCATCATCATTTCAATTTCAAAAAAAAAAACATCTTTTTCTTGGTTTTTCATTTTTTTCAATTCCTTCCACTGAAAGAAGAAAGCAACGGCAATGGCACCAAGAGGAAGACCACACAAAAAGATGGTCGGTAACACGAGAATGGATGCTGCTTTGGATGCAATGCAACAGTTTGGATTTAAGGAAAAACTTGTTCGAAAAACGGTTGAGGAGCTTCTTGATGTGGGTCTTCTTTTCTTGAAATAGTTGTAAAACAAAAGTTTTGATTTTTTTTAGTTGCTTTGTTTTATTCTTAAATAAAGTTTTGATTTTTCATTGTTTTTTAGGTTTATGAAGGAACTCAAGGATGGCCCTTTATTGAAGAGGGTTCTTATAAGCTTCTAATTGAAACTTTACTTTGCAATCAACAAACTTGTGTTGAAGACAAGGTTAACATTTTGCAAATGTGTTTATTTCTTGCAATTTATTGTGTAATGATTTTTGTTTTTGAGATTCTGTATTTCAGCTATCAGGTAAGGCTACTCACACTACTAAAAATTGTTTGCATGCAACACTCTTAAGGGAAACTTTTTATATTTACTTATCGGCATTGATGTTGCGTCTGGTGTTTGTGTCGTGCTTCGTGACTAGACACTTTGTGTTTGAGTCAACATAGATTGTTATACAGATGGTATTTTTTATGATTTTGAATTAATGACAAGAAAAAGAGGGTTGTTTGCAGGATGATACAAGAAGGGATGATGTTTGTGAGACATCATCAGCTGCTACTCTCACAACAGGAATGACTGAAGTTGGCTCCTCCTGTCTTGTGGCTCACGACTCGATATCGTGTGCTAGTGATGATTTGGACTCTAGATCTCAAACCAATGATCATCATCATGATTCTGCTCCAACTATCAATCGAGAAATAGGAACTGGTAATTTGATTCTAACCTCCTTTAGTTCCTTTCATTTGAATATATTTCCTAAACATAAGTCCTAGATCAAGGTTAGCCCTAGTTAAGTTTAGGTCCGGCCAAGTGAAACCTAAACAACATTTGGGAAGTTTTTTGTCAAATATTTTGGTATTATGCGCTCTACGGATTTGTATTCATTGCATTCAGCCAACCACGCATAGCCGATATGACTGTTGGATTAAGATGAGACAACTCATGTTTCAACTATGTGTTTTGGAATAAGATGAGACGACTCATGTTTCAACTGTGTTTTGTAATAATGTTCGCAGATGACAAGGATACCAATGTGACAACTAAGAGAGGTGGAAATCAACAAGACATTAATGTCAAATCTAAAAATGATCAAAATCCAATGAACAATGTCAAAGAAAACAATCATAAACCATCTGTTAGCAATGTTGAAACCACTGTTGTGAAGAATTCAATGATTGAATCCTCAAAAACAAGTGACAAACTTCCATGCAATAGACTTCGTCGACCTTGCCATGGATGGATTAGTAGTGATGATACTATTGACCTTTTATACTTTCCACCTCCACCATTACCAAAACATATAGAGAAGATAATTGGGAAGATGGAAGATTCTCAGATACAAAGGCGCAAGAGTAGATGGGATGAAAAACCAGATGATAATATGTAAATGTTAATTTGTTGAGTAATGAATCTCTTAGGCCTTGTTTGGTTTTTGTTTTTGTATGTAAACTATGGTATATTGGTGATAGGAAGCAATTTTTTTGTTCATGAGACATTAAAGATGAATATTGAATTGACTAAACATGCTTGTTTTTACAATGCACATAGTGTTTTATTAAGTGGCTAAAAATGCTTGTTTTTTATTATGCTATCATGGCATGTTTGATTAAAATGAAAGAGATATATCATTAACAAAAAAAATGGATGGGGTTTGAAAGAGGATGAACCTATGGACTTTCTAGGTTCATAGCTAATAGACTTTGGAGTTTTTCAAGTTCAAAATTTTCAAAATTGAATTTTGAATTTGATGTTTTCTTTTTGGAATTTGACGCCTCTTGTTGATATTATTTTATTTTTATCAATTGAATATATATACGAAAAAATATGTCTCATAATCGTTGCATCATATAAAAATTTCATGTCAAATATTCTCTCTTAATAATAGTATTAAGATATAGTAATACTATTTTGTTGGATTGAAAGAGTCATAAAAAATATATAGTAATACTATTTTGTTGGATTGAAAAAGTAAAAAAAATAAAAAAATAAAAAAACCTTTCAAGCCCAAGGAGTATTTACAAGAGGGCAAAATATACACCCCGAAAGATTTTAAATATGTTTACCGTTTTTGGTGTTGCATCTTCATACGTACACAACATATATTCAATAAAGATCATTCTGAGTTAAGCTCTATCATTTGGTTTAAATTATTCCGAAAATACATATTTAAAATAATTATATACTTACATCTCCGGATTCACAATAGAAACAGAATCAACAGATCCAAAATAAAATTGACACTCATAACATAAAATAATCATTACGATTATAATTTCAACAGAAAATTCAATATTACATTTCAATTATCTGGTGGACGCTTGCACATCTTCAGAATATCTTCGACCGATCTATGTATCGTTGCTTTTAACTCGAGTGTAACTTTTTCATCGAAACCGAAAAACGTATCACAAATACCTTTAACATCCGCTCGCGTCTTAAGCTCAAGCTTGGTGAACTAAAGCTTCCCTCCGTTGTCAATCAAAGGTGAACGGTACTCGGTCTTCACAATCTTTCGATTATCTCTGTAAGGTAGGAGATCGTGAATTTCGTCTTTGATATCTTTAAGGAGGGTGAAGTCGTTCAGCTTAATTGTTTGCCCGGGTGTAGAGTTGGAGAAGGAGACATTTGTGACATACAAATCAATTTTTATTTGTGACATTTAAGACATTTTGAGTTTGTGTAAAATATAGCACTAGAACACCTAAATTTATAGAAGATAAAGATCAAATTGGACCACTCATCAACCAACACATTGATTACGGAGATATATCTCCGTAAATGCACCATATTATCTTGTTCCGGATATGCATCTCCGGAACTTCTCCTGAACCAATTACAAAACAGAATTAATTTTTTGTCATTGAACAAAAACACACATGTTGTTGTGGGATAGATAAAAAATGCATAAAGACAAAATATGAACAAAAAGTGAATATATAACACTTCATTTATATAGAGACACAATTACATACAATTGTTTGTCCAGTTAAATAAGGAATTAAAATGAATAGAAACATGTTTCGTCGACTAAATCTATAGGTGATACCCCTTTGGACTTTTGTGCATTCGATTCTTGAATGGGCATGTGATTGGTATGGGGCATCCTGATTTCAAGTATACTTGAATAAAATGACTTGATTTTGAAAGTCATCTAATACACATGATGCAAAATGACTTGATTTTGTGTCTCATTATGCTGGTTTTGAATCATGTGGTTCACGGAGTCCCCTGTCTCTATACAAATTCTTTTATTATTTTCCAACTAATTTTTTAAAGTAGCATGAGCCGACTCAACTCTGTTAGTAGTTGTATTTTCAAGGTGTCTAACATTATCAGTTCACGCACAAACTATCTTCTCCTTCACTTGATCAAGAATTGTGGTTTCAACATATTTCAACAAACTTGGATATTTTTCGCACTTTCCAGAAATAAATAACAGAATCGACATATAATTCTTTTGTGGAAAAATTTATAGTACTCATTCCCATATCCGCGTGTACACAAACTCTTATACTCATACCCAATGGGTACTCAAGTAACCATACCCGTAACTGTTATTTGTAGTTCTAATATAAACAAATCGATAAATTAAAAAATATCATATCACTTTATATTTTCAATAAAATGAACAAAAAAATTTTAAATTTTTTACTATTGAGTTATGAAACAATCGAACACTAATATCAAAATGCTTAATAATTTAATAGTGACATATTTTTTTTTAAGTGATAAAATACAATTTTATATAATAATATAAATAAAAATATATAAATATACATTGTGTGAGTATGAAGCGAGGTGAATATCAAAATATCTGTATCTGCATTCATATCCACTTATTTTAGTAGGTAATTATCCGTTTTCGTGCTCATTTTTATAAATTTTTAATGAGTATATTTTACCGTTACCATTAAGTATGAGTATAACTGCCCTCCCTATATGTTTGATACAATTACTAAGAAAATTGATTGTATAATTACTAGTGTATTTTTAATTTGACTTTTTTTTAGTAAAACTAATTTGACTTTTTATCTTACAAAACTAAACTGATATGTTAATAAATGATATATTTGTATTTTATAAATTAAATTTAAAATTTGTAAAAGAAATCTCATATTTAAAAATAAACAATGTTTTAAATCTAATAATTAAATAATTTTGTTTAAGAATTCATAGACATAAATATTAAAATAGAAAATTTATAAAGAGTTTAAAAATAATAGATTGACGGTGTAAACTAATATTACACTTACAACAATCAAAATATATTTTAAAAATAAAAGTATAAATTAACGAGATACACATGCTGAATAGTTGATAGTATAAATTTTTTTTTCACATTCCATTTTCTTATTTACATAAAATCAAAAAAAGTTATTAGATATTATACAGTCCAAACAAATAGTAGTACTTAAAAATCATCTACAATGAAGTATGAGGTACAATACACTTTTCTAGATTAAAAAAAGGCAGATCTAAATCTATCTAGTTCTCAATCCAAGTGTCAAATCTCTATTGGCCCTCGGAATTTCGTCACTCTCCGTTTATCAAAAAAAAAAAAAGTCACACTGTAAAACAGGAAAATAAAAAAATAATCTCTTTGCGCGGGTATTTTATTTTAATTAATTAACGAAAAATAGAAAAAAAAAATAGCGAATAATTGGTTCTCCTTGCCTCGCGTCGCTTCCTTCCTATCGCTACTTCTTCACTCCTCTGCCATTTTCTCCATTCTCACTCATTTTAATGGCATTAGGGTTTCATTCATCTTAGACTCATCGTTTTCTCCCAACTAAACCATGAATCTCTCACTTCCATCACCTTCTACTTTTCGCGGGAACTTCGTCGTTCCTCTCTCGCACTGCACTTCTTGCTTTCAGTTCAATCTTCGATTTCATAGTTCCAACCGTTTTCGCCATACACGTTGGAGTTCCGGCCAATTGAGTCTTACCGGAAGAAGAAGAAGGATTGCTTGTAGTGTTACTGAGTCTGACGGTGACAACCAGGAGGTACTTTCACTTTGTGACTTTATCTGATTATTTTGATTCTAATTGAAGCTTGTAATGATTGTTCAAATTTTATTGCATGTTAGCTTAGATAATTGGATTCATTATGGAGCCATTAACACACTTCAATAAATGGTTAGTTACTTTTAGTAGACTAATAGCTTTAGGAGTTGTCGAGATTAAAGTTGGACTGGAGTGCCACATTTTTCTGATTTTTGGCTAATAGATGATGTAATGGGAGAAGAAAATGGCACAAAGGGGAGGAGGTTTACAACGGTTAAAAGAGAAATGTAGTGGGAGAAACTCAGATTTGTTAATTCAATCACTTGCTTATCACCAAATGGGGGGTTTAAGAAGGAAGAACTTGTTATATAGGATGTGAGTGTTTCAGCAAAACCAAATAGCAACATATTTTTAGTGTGATCATTATCATTGAACACACATATATTCTTTTACATGCACCCTATCTCATTCACACTTTGTTGAAAGAATGGTTGTTAGCTCTACGCTGACCTTTAATTTTCCATACTTTTTCTTTGACAATACAATTTTGAAACTTACCTAGGATAAAGAAGAACATAAAAATGAAGAAACACAATCTTTGGAGGATTCTGTTGAGCAAATTAAGCCCCCGCCTATAGATGGAGAACAGCTAAACAAGTTTAGTGATGGAAATACAGAACAAAATGATACACAGGTAATGCTTGACTTATTTATATTCAATTTGGCAAGAAATAGCTATGTTGACAAAATTCGCTTATTATTGTTTCATGTGTTTCTTTTCTTTAATACCTTGCTTATTGGAGCTCTTCCTAAAGCACAATTACTCATGGGAAAAACAATTCTAGTGAGTGATTTCAAGTTTCTATGGAGATTGTAATCTTATTTGAGGTATTGAATAGTTTGTTGCAACGTTTCCGTGGACACAATAAATAGGTGCTGAATCGAGTAAATTTTGTGCGATCTGCACTTTCTCTGTGGGTGTTTTGTGTGTGTTTCCATAATTAATAGAGGCATCAAAGTAATGACTTAAAACACATACATTTGAGTTGGAACAATATCTTAATCATACTTTAGAGGTGGAAAAGCCAACTACCATGAACACAATTTATTTTGTAGAATCCAATAGAAGATCATGCATAAGATTCATTTAGCTCTACCTCCCTTGATCAAATACACGGTGTTGAAGGATATAATTCCAAAGGAACTACGAGAGAAGCTCAAGGGTGTTTATCTTTGAAGACGGAGTTATACCAAATGTAAATGGAGGTGAATGGAAATCTGTGACTACATTAATACAATCCATGAAACAGAGTAGACCAACTACTGAATATATATAATAACATCTCCGATGATGAAGAACATATATTATTGTTTCTGTCTT